CATTTTTGCTCCTTTTGCGTACTTCATTTCGTATTAAACATCATCATAGTTGACTTGGATAGTTGTCCTGAATGGAAGTGAGAAAAAGGACCCTTGGAATAGTTTCATATAATGAGCTTCATGGATATTTATCAGGATGCTTTTATCAGTATGTGCTCTCAGTGCTAATGCGCTTATACGAAATGTCCGAAATGTTTATGTTTAGTAGTTTTCCTTTTGAGGCTAATCGAAAAAACCATTCGTGCCTTGAGGTAGTAGCTTATCTTCACCTTAAGTATGACGCAGATATTCCACTGAAGGTGATGGCTCCATGGTTTCCGGCTATGGATGGGGCCATGGTTTGCTTCACGTTAGTCTTATTATCTCCTAAACTGGCTGTTTCATAGTTCATATTGTTGTCACCGGTTTGTTTCATTGTTTTTCGATTGTGACAATCAGTATTATTTTTTAGATGATCGATTTGATCATCCGCACTTTCGTAGAATCTTGGTATTCTGTAATGACGATCGACAACGAATTCGTACCTATAGTGCGATCGATTTTTGTCGACGTATTGCGGAAGTTTTCAAAATAGTAATTTTCACGTTCATTATTGTACTATTGCTGTTCTTTTTGTTTTTGTATACATGAGTAACGTCCATAGTTTAATCAATATCGACTGGGTCGTCTTCTTGACGAGGGATGTAGTCGACGATTTCGCCACTCACATTCGGCTATACAGAAAATCCAAGGAAAGCTGCGAGAAAATGCCGAAACTCGCGGGTGGCGTGAAGCCGAACGACATCGAAAGGGTGTTCTTTGAATTAGAGAACAAATTGGAACATGGCTTTGATCGCCGCTTTGTCTCCATGTCTCGTAGTTTTGAAAAGGGTGAGGCGTTGTTTCTGTTTTAATAAAAAACCAAAGCTTAATTAAATCATACTTTTTAGTCTTCATGTACTTAATTTATGAGTTATCTATCGTGTTTATGTCCAATGCCATGGCTGGATCAGAACCAGCCGAATTTAGGTTTAAAAAGCATAAAAAGCCGATCAGATTGAGTGACGAGGTGACAGATTAATTCACCAGACGGCTATTGACAGTTTCTGACTCAGAATGATACCATTTAGAAATCGCCACTTCATGAGTCAAAAAATTATTAAGGCTGAAGAGAACTTCCAGTCGTACTTGAAACTCAATCTTTCTTTGGGTTACGTTGCTAGGTGTGTTTTTCCACACCTAAAATGTTTAATGGAATTTTTTGCTCTGTTATTTTAACCACAGCAATGTGGATGTTCTAATTCGATTGTGACGTAATTAATTTATTGTCATGAAGTTATTCGTTTTCGAAATTACCTTATTTTTACATTTCAGTCGTTCTCAGCGCGTGTCACAGTTTCAGTAATTCGACATGATTAATCCGTGATAAATTCATTTATGAAGTTTTTATATATTTAGCACTAAGTGTTCTTTTCAGACGCGGTTCGAAACATTGGTTTTAAATTAATATTTATGAAAATATTATTGACAGATTTTTCTATGATGAATTTAAATGATTTGATGCGAAATTGGGAAATACGCAGCTCCTCTGATTACGGAGCAAGGGTGATGACACCCTTATCTATCAAGGAAACAAGCTCTCTATGGGGGGGGG